AAAAAGTCCGACAGGCCGATTTACGACCAAATACGCCCCCGTCCTTTAGTGGGAAATTCTTCCATGATGGCCGAAAACAATGTCAGTGAAAGTAACTTGGTCAGTTTCAGCTAAGTTTCTTTCAGATATTGGTAACGAGAAGTTCCCTACCTATGAAAACATCAGATAAAGTCTGAAACTTCAGGACGACTCGTCAATCTCTGCTGAGAAGATAGAACAAAACACTTTGCACTGGATCTTCATTGTTCTTTCTTTCAACAACAATAGAAAACCTGTGTCTTAGATGTAGCTGGATGTGAGTTTGAGAATAGTTGTGAGTGCCAAGGGAGAAATACTCGTGAACATGTGGGTACATGTCACAGTCTGCATCACAGGGTTATGCGTGCGGATGTTTCCGTCGTTGGTATCGATAAGATAACTTTTCTGAATTTGCATGTGAAGTGCAGTGTGAATCGACATAGAATTCTTTGCGTAGCTGTAGTTATTACTCTCGACTATCAATATATATAGTACTATGGAATGTAGCTGTCCTTTTCTGGATCTACGTATTAAGTGTGAGTCAGCGCTATGGATTTGGAACTTTGTTAGTCTGTGGGTGTGAAGATGTGTGAGAGTTGACGTGTAGGCGCTCATGTTTGGAGATGGAGATGGGAGTCTGACAGTATTTGACGAAACAGATGTACGTCGCGAGGGCTGTCTATAGAATTGCGCGAGTTTAAAAGTGTGCTGGACGATGGGTAAGTGTGTGAAGAGGTGTGAGAATAGTGATGTGAATTCGGACAGATTTCAGGAGAACGATATGGATGTGGAGAAGTCTGTAGATATATATGTAGTTAATTAAGACTTTCAATACAGCTTTGACTGTTAATACGGGTATGAAGATGAGAATGCGAGTGTACGTGGGTGGATGGAATATGGATGGGGATCTGAAGAGGTATGAGAACAGAGATATGGGTGTGGCGAGAGGTTTGAAGATAAGAATGAGTGGTGAGATGTGTTAGGATACCGATCATGATGGTGAAGAGTTGTGGGTATAAAGACGACGATGGTGATGAATGTGTGAATACAGGTGTGGTTGATGATGGTTTTCAAGATAGCTGTGAGAATTAAGAGAGTCATATGAATAAGTATGCAATTGTTGAGACGTATCAGAATAAGAATCTAGATAGGGAGGGGTTTGCCGATGGAAATGAGGATAGTTAGGGACGTGAGGATATGGATAGGAGTTGACGAGCAAAGTGGATGTGGAGCGATTTGGGAAAATGAATGTGGATGTGAAGCGGTTTGGGGAAATGGATGTGAATGGAAGGATTATGAGAATAGGAATGTGAATATGAAGAAGTTTTAGGGTAGGAATGTTGTTGATGAGGTGTGTTAGGACAGCTCTGCGAGTGTAAATCAATGAAGGGATAGAGATACAGGTGTGAAAGCGTGTAAGAATAGAGATGCGAGCGTGAAGTGATTACATGATATAACTGAGGGTGATGAGGCGTGTGAGGATAGGGATGACATTTGTGAGGGTTTGTGACCCTACAGATCAGAGTGTGAAGATAGAGATGTGGCTGATGACGGGTAACAGGACAGATGTGAGAGTTCCGAGGGTACTGACAATAAGGATTCGGGTGTAGAGGAATGTAGGGTAAAGGATGTGCATGTAAGAGTTGATGAAACGCGATGACGATGGTGGAATTTGTAAGGATAAGGATGTGTTTCATTGGAAGGAGGCTGTTACGATAGCGGTAGGAGTGTAGAGGGGTATCAAGATTATGATGTGAATGGGAAGGTGTGTGAGAGTATGGACTTGGGTATGGAGATATACAGCTATAGGGTTGAGGTTATTGAGAGATGTGAGGATAGGTGTGCTAGCGTTAACTGGTGTGGCAATCATTATGTCTGTCATCGGGAGTGTAACCATGAAGGTAACTGTAGGCATTAGGACAAGAGAGATTCTAGTTGGTGAATGGGGAGATGAGTTTGAATACGTGCGAGCATCAGAATGTCGGAGTGGAGGGTTTCTACTAAAATGGTGCGAGGATGGAGTATTCTGGAGATAGGGTTGTCATTGTGGACGCATTTGGGTATAAGAGTCTGGATGTCGAGAGGTGTGAGTGTTAGTACTGGTGGCTGTGGATGTGAGTGGGCGGGTGTAGTTGTAGCTGTGGAGTGTGGGTGTGAGTGCGGGTGTAGATGTGTGGATGTTGATGAAGACGTGTGGGTTTGTAGGTATGGATGCAGGTGTGTGTATAGATGTGTGGATGTTGATGTGGATGTGGGTGCAAGTGTGGATGGGTGGCGGGATGTTCACCAATAAGACATTCGCCAATGACGAAAGTCCCGGGGGTATGTTGGCGAATTTCCAAGAGATGTATTGGTGAAAGCACAGTGGGCTTTCGCCAATTGGCGAAATTCCAGGGGATGTATTGGCGAAAGTGAGGTGGACTATCTCAGTTGTCACGAAACAATATTAATATAGGATATATGTCAGCACCGAAGTTAATGTTATTAGAATATATACAGGGTGTCCCAAAAGCCCGATCGAAAAGTAAGTTCGTATAACTCCACTATTTATCAAGCTAAGCATAGGCGGCGCAGCATTTTTGGATACGTTGAATCTCAGTTTCAGAGCATGGGATCCAGACGAAATTTATGGAGAGTGATATTGAGCCTAAATGATGAGTTTTATTCAAAAAATTTTTGCGATCGAAGTTTGCGAAAAAAATTTTTAAAATCTTATTGCTACTCCTAAAAATTTTTTTGCTTTTTTATAGTATTCCATTTTTTAAAATTCAATCGTAATCTACATCGAATTTCATCGACAGATTTCAAATTTCACCTAAAAATATGCATCCGTTCAGGAGTTATAACATTTTCAATCTTTGAGAGATGCCTCAACAATTTTCACAAAAAATTCAAAATGTTATAACTGAACGGATGCATATTTTTAGGTGAAATTTGAAATCTGTCGATGAAATTCGCTGTAGATTACGATTGAATTTTAAAAAATGGAATACTACAAAAAAGCAAAAAACTTTTTAGGGGTAGCAATAAGATTTTAAAAATTTTTTTCGCAAACTTCGATCGCAAAAATTTTTTGAATAAAACTCATCATTTAGGCTCAATATCACCCTCCATAAATTTCGTCTAGATCCTATGCTCTGAAACTGAGATTCAACGTATCCAAAAAATCCTGCGCCGCCACTGAAACTAAGTCGACTAATGTTTTTTTCAATGGTAGATATCGCTGTGAAGTTTTAATTAATATAGACAAGCTTTATAAATACTGTTCAAAGTTATCACTTTTAACTGAAATACAAAAATCAGTCGTTTTATCATTTCGAAATAAAAATTACGCAGTTTTTATCTTCTAATGCTCCAATTTCTTGCGTTTTTTGTGATGTTTAGATCGGCCAGATCTTATGCTATCATTTATATGCATCTGTTTTGATTTGTCACTTCAAAAAGAAGCTTAGTGACGCCCAGTTCGGTGCTTATGAAGTCCATAAGACAATGGTTCTTTTTGGAATGAGAAAACAACTGATTTTTGTATTTCAGTTAAAAGTGATAACTTTGAACAGTATTTATAAAGCTTGTCTATATCAATTAAAACTTCACAGTGATATCTATCATTGAAAAAAACATTAGTTGACTTAGTTTGATAAATAGTGGAGTCATACGAATTTGCTTTTCGACTGGACCTTTTAGACACCCTGTGTATCATAGTTTACACTCATCGATGTAGGTGGGAAACATTTTTTTAGTGTACATCTAATTTACAATGAAATTGTTGAAAGTTCACTGTACTATCGTCAACTGGCGAAAGTACAGTGGACTTCCGCCAATGGCGAATGTCCTATTGGCGAAAGTCTTATTGGCGAAGTTCCGGAACCCCGTGTGGATAGGTGTGAGTGTGTGGGTGCCGGCGTTGGTGAATGTGGCTGTGCATGTAGAATGTGACTGTAGGTGTAGATGTATGGATGTGGATGTGAGTGTGGTTGAATGTGGCCGTGGCTGTTCGTGTGAATGTATGGATGTGAGTGAGAGTGTGATTGTAGATGTGTGGATATGGATGTGAGTGTGTGGGCGCCGGTGTGGATGAATGTGGCTGTGGAGTGTTGGGTGTGAATGTAGATGTGTGGATGTGGGTGTGGTTGTGGATGTGTGTGTGGTTGTAGCTGTGGAGTGTGGGTGTGGCTGTGGAGTGTGGGGTATGAGTATGGGTTGTGGGTGTGAGTTTGGCTCTCTTCATCTGGGCATACCCAAACCGTCAAGTGCCAAAACTTTTAGCTCATCCTACAGATATGCAGATGTAAGGTAATAGGAGGCACAACGATATAACCATTACCGTATGGGTATAAAGGTACAGATATAAGAGTATACTACCAACGACAAAATGACTGCGAATCGCATTTTTTATGTAACTTTTGACAGAAACAAGATAGAGAGCTGCGGTTTTCACTATTGGAAAGAGGAAGTTAAGACGCATTGAATTATATGTTATAGACGTTTTGACTTAGTTTTTCTAAAGTTTTCAATTGAGCTTTTTTGTGAAACAACGTTCTTGATAGATGACTACAAGGAATTGTCAACTATCTGATAAATATTCAAAGCAA